GATGGGCTGGGTGCTCGCGGCAGATCTTGTACGCCATAGCATAGGCACGGTCTTATCAGAGCAGCCAGGCCCCAGGTTGCCAACGATAACCACGTCGGTCCGTGCCAGGCAACTTGTATTTGACGCGGCGCCCGCCACGACTGAGGGCATGTTAGGTTAAGGTCAAGTTGGCAACCCTGTGCACTTTATACTTTTTTTATAGTTTGTAAGTGTCCTCCCTGCCCTCCCCGATAGGTGCCCAAGTTAGGTCGCGTGCACTTAGCTTTTGTGTCCATGGCAATGGACGGTCACTTAGGAGGGTTTGACATTTCTGTGTGTGTGTTTTTTTTTTTTTATCACAGGGTGCACAACTTGACAGGTTCGGTCGGCCCGACCAATGAAATCAATGCGAGAAGGAGAGACAGACAAAAAGAACTTTTGCATTCTCTTCCTGTGAACAAATCGCATTGCAAGGAAAAAGATTCAGTTTAACGTAAAATACAACTCGTCGGTCTTTCGCTTCAATGTTGAAAGATCCGCCTGAATCTGTGAGGTTCCTAGGTTAAGGTTTCTTTGTTTGTATTCTCATGTTCTGTGGTTCCAGGTCATCGATTGAGCTGAAAAGTCACCATTTAGAGATATATCGATTGCCGTAATCGAGCCTTTTGCATCGTTGCTAATCGATAAACAATCGCGAATCGGTGTCGTCACCTTTTACATTTCACTCGTAAAAACCGTGGATTTTCCGTCGGAGTTGGGATTTTACATAAAAAAGGCTCTACCAGTTTTTTCTTGAACGCGAGCGTTTGTTGAGGTAGCACTAGTGTTTGTGTTTCGATGGCGAATTATTCTGCCATCCTCAGGGTCAGTTTGATTGGGCAGCTTCCTCGACATTTTGTTTTCGACTTCAGCGCAGCGCCGTTAAACAACACGACAAATCTGTGTTGCGTTTTGAACAGAATAGAAGCCGATTTTTATTTATTCCGCGAAGATTATTCGGCAGTGGATTTGGAAGGAGAATTCCGACTTCGTTACGTCTTACGTGTTTTAGATTTTTTTTCGTTCCGTGCGATGAACGGCCTACAATTGTGAATATTTTAAATTTCACGGAGTTGTACTCTCAGTTGTAAGCCTTCACCGGCCAGAGATTTTAAAAGACGTCCGACCAGGAATCCGTTCGTTCGACAGAAGACGCCAGTGACACTGGTAAGTTTTCTGTGTTCATTTGATTTCTTCCAGACTGTTCGTTGCTGTTCTTATAGAAGGTTTGTTTGTTTGTTTGTTTGTTTCAGGCCCCGCTCACGTCCTGTGCCTCAACGTGGCGAGCGGGTGAAACAAAGAACGGTGCATTCCCGCAATCGAAGTCATTGTTACATTGAATGCAAAATTCCCGAATTTTGGTTAAACTAACCATTGTTAGTAAAAAGATGCGGGCATTTTGACTGGCCTTCGGACTGTTCTCTTGTTTCACAATAATGTGTAAATGTCTATTAATTTCCTTCCGTTCGTCTGTCGTTTGTTTTTGTTTTTCAAACAGTTTCCATTTTCGTATATCGATTTGATTACGAATCGATTATCTCTGTATCCTGGTTTCTGCCTTACATCGCGTTCTGAAGCGTAAAAAATCGCTCGTTTTTGAACGTAAATTCATTTCCGTATGCATTTGTAAATTATACATTTATTAGAAACTTTTAGCAAGATATTAAAATGGGCTTCTAGTTTAAGCGTGCTGTCTGTGTGTCTGTCTGTCTGTTGTGTCGTAATTAAAGCGGACATTGATTTCGCTGTGATAGCAGGACGATAAGCAATCATTTCTTTTTCGATTTTGATATAATAGAGATTTTCTCGTTTCATCTAAATATTGAAATGACGTGATGTTTATTGAAATTAAAGAAATTAGACCAAAATAAAAAGAAACTGACAAGATTAGAGGAGGTATGCAGTAACAAGTTTGGTAAATATCGGCCAGGCTGTTCGGGAGCTGTTATTTTCAGACGGACATGATGGGACTAGAGGCTGTTTTCGAAGCGTGTTGTCTGATTTTGGCGAATTTCTATGGTTCCGACATTTTTGTTTTTCATCGTACAGGAAGGAAATTTTGACAGTGTACACAGGAACGTCCGAAAGTCTGCATTTCGTTTTGAATTAATTGTCTGTCCGCGTATTTGTGTGGGCGAATAAAGTTTAAATTATCAATTGCACGAATGCGTCCTTCCTTGGCCAAACAGGATTAATTAATTGTTTAATTTTAACCGTCTAATCACAATAAAATATTTTATTGTGATTAGACGGTTAAAATTAAACAATTATAATCATCACAATATGACGCAACATTATCATCTCAGGATTAATTAACTTAGTGATAATTTGAACTGGTTTCCTGGTTACCGAATCATTTTTAATCTTCGTCAAATATTAATGGGATAAACTTGATGGGCGGGGCATGTACCATACATGGGGGGGTGGTGACGACACGGATAGAAGACATTTATTTTGAAGCCTGAAGCTAAGAGATCACTCAGAACACCCAGGTGTCAGAGAGTGGATAATATTAAAATGGTCCTAACGTATATATGGTGGGAGGATGGGGGGACTGTGGTGGAATTAGTAACCTCTGGGAAACAAATTAATATGGTCTCATGTACCATCGGTAAAAATACTGGAACATGGGACGATTAATACGTATTTTAATTCTTTTTTCCGACTGGCGTGTCACTATTTCAGACTCACGGGCGCCTGCCAGCAAATGAGAGTCACTGTCTCTCAGTCTGCAGTGACCTCACGGTTCACTCACTAATGGTTAACGAAGACATCTCTGTGGAAGCGTATGGGGGGCGTGGGAGTGAAGCTCCATGCATTTTATATCTCCGCGTTAGTGCCAGTGGGCAGTACGCGGCAGATGTTTTAATCATAGGGTAAGTCGTGGATGATAGGGCGTGAGAGGAAAAAGTTACTTCTGTCAGGAACTGGACCTGTGTGGAAGATGGGCGTATTTGAAGTTAACAAACACGTTAAGACACGATCTCGGTACTTAAATTGAATAAGACAGAACGAGTCGGGATTACATGTTATTAAATAAATCGCTTCGCTGATAAATAGACGTATAAAGGAGGACTACAAAATAAACAAATCTGTTAACCGGTAGATAAAATTTTCATGCAGATAATGATAAAGGTACTTGAACTGCCTTAACTTTAAGACTTATTAAGAACAGGATAAGCATATTTGATCTTGTTTCATGTCTTAGATGACTTGATGGAGTTTGTGTGAATTAAAATTAGTCTATCAGTAGCAATTTAAAAATGTATCTAGATCAGCATTGTTTAAATAACTTTAAATTGTTGCCTGTAACTTAATTACGCTACGAATTACGTAATGTGTTGTGTAAGGATTAACTGCAGGTTCTTGACGTAGATACGTCTATATTTTGACAACAATTTGTAAATATGGACCGACAACAATGGTCAGCTTGCGTGCTGTTTACTCTAATTGTTACATTACTTTTCATTTCATTATAGAGACGTATTTACGTCAGATTCTCCGGAACCGTGGTTCAACTGTCAACTTTTTTAGTTTATTTATTTTTTATTCTTAGGTTTTGACAACAAAGGAATACTACAAGGCCTTCTAATCTGCATGTGAAAAATCAGATCATACAACAATTGGAAAGAAAAGGTGAAATCATGGCCTGTCACGGGGGATTTGATAATATCAAAGACTCGTGAAGAAACTCCATTATAGGCACTTGACCGTTGTCCCATTGGAGAAGCAGTGGACAGGAACAGAGTATGTAAGCAAATATACAGTGTGCTAAGCTGCTATTAATAAACTGTGACCAGAGATGTTAATAACAGAATGTGTTGCGTAATTGAAAAGAATCCTGCTGCCGTATTAACACGTCATCTCCGTGGTAAAAAGTCCTTTTCGAGATGACAGTAGTCGTGGAATAAACAATGTGTTTTTTTTATTATAATTGATCTCAACCCAAAGTCCCCCCATTGTATACTCCAGTATTTACCGCATTTCAGTGACTTGGTTATAAATGCCACGATTTACGTTCTGTGTGTCGCAGTGGTGTCAACAGAGATAAGGATTTGTCAATCATAAATTTAGTTGGCTACGGGTCAAAGATTGTATAGTAAGACGCGTTTGGAAATCGTGAACGTTACTTTCTTAACAAGCGAATACCACTCACTCCCCTAAGAGCATTTAAACTGTATCGATATATCTTGGACTATTTTCTGTCTGTGTGTTGTTCCGCTGTCAGGAAGGTAACTTGCTCGCCACTGCAAAGAAACTAGTCCGCGGTACGTGCCTGTCACTTGTTTACACACGCTAATGCGTGAACAAAGTGCTTTATGGCAATTCTGCGCACGTGGTAAACAAGTCTCAAGTCCATGGATACAGCATTGCGAAATTATTACTTTGTTGTAATAAAAGTATTCGTTTCGCTGTGTAGACGTTTACAACATCCCATAATGTCACCTTCATACTCGACGCCATTAGAAACTGAAATTTCAACTGCAGAACTTGTATGAAGTGTCTTTTCTTTTAAATCGTTGGCGCGTCATACAGGGGGGGAAAGAAAAGACGCATACTGTTGCTAAAATTACCCTGACGGCGCAGTACTCATCAAAAGAATGCTGCTCGAAATCTAACTAATTACAATCCAAAGCTTAGGGAAGATTTTTTTTTTAAATTCTTACAAAAGATGTACATGTAACAGATAACAGAATTCCAACAATGCGCACTCTCCTCGTTTTTTTTTTCTCTAATAATACGCTGTTATTACTGACTTCACCATTGTTTTCGACTCGAATGTATATAAACCCATTGTAAACCTTGCTTCTATACACTTAAATTCGTAAACTAAAACATGAAACAACGTCTTAATAAAATAAATGTAGGATTTACTGAACATTCATTTAACTACAGTCTATGTAAGGGCTCAGAATTTCGTTAGATTTTACATGACAAAGCAGACTCTTTCTTAACAATGTAACTTTCGTGATGAAACTTACGTTTAATTGTTTGCTTGAATACAAAATGTTGTGCCAGCAACGGATAAATATGAGAAGGCGTTGAAGATGCCCCTCTGCCCACGGCTGTGTTGATCACGACAGACCTATTCAGTGACCGAAGCTGAACTGAGTGCGAAGACCAGACACAGCGTAGATACGAAGAGCGAGACCCAAGGCCAAACGAACTTCAATATCTGCCAACCGCAGATGATGGTTGCGACACAGTCCTCCAGGAAACCATGTAGCAAATTATTATCGATTTATCGAACTTATCAGGTACATTGGCCCGTAGATCGTCGAGTGTTCAGGAAGCGGAAATTTTGCAGTCTGCCTGTTCGTCACGTCATGAAGACGTGTCGGGAATTGGAAATATAACCCCACGTATTCTTAGTCTCGGCAGTATTTTGAGATTAGTAGTCAGTTTCGAGCTGCGGCCGGCTCATCCCCAGACCCCCGATCTGGGCACAGTGGCGATTAAGAGAAAAATTTCAGCACGTACTGGGAATCGAACCCCGTTTGTTTACTTCATTGTTAAATACTCGTCTGACCTGAGGTATCCCAGCTCAACCAATGACGTCACCTGGTGTAAAATTATCAGTAATTATTGACTATTCTCCACTATTATCCACTCCTGACAGACCATCGCTTTCTGATATCACTCGATTCATCACTACCGCTGCTCCTGTCCACTCCATCATCTTCAATTAAATTTATTATATACATTAGTGCCAAAGCGTGACTAGGCGTGACCTCCTATGAAAGCGTGACGAGAGGACACCTTAGGTGTTACAATGCGACGAAGACCAAGCGTAAAAAACGTGACTACGCGTGACTTATTGTAACGGCGTGACGAGAAGTGGCCATAAGTGCAGACACATTACGAATATTTTCAAAACGTTACGTAACCTAACAAACTAACCTAACCTAACTAAACCTGACCTAAACTAATCTAACTTAACATAACGTGACGAATTGTGGCCATAAGTGTCAAAACATCACAAAAAATTTCAAAACGTTTGATAACTTAACCAAATCAACTAAATTAACTAAGAAAACCAAATCTAACCAAACCTAACCTAACCTAACCTAACCCAACATGCCGAAACTTAATGTAACGTATTGCAAAGTAGCCAAAATTAACTGCGCCTTACGTAACATAGCGTAAGCGTGCCGAAGCGTGACTTAGTGACCACGCGTGTCCAAGCGTGACATTGCGTGACCAGGCGTGACCTGCTATAAAGGCGTGACGAGAGGTCACCATAAGTGTTAAAGTAGGACGAAGATTCGAAAAGTATGTCTTTTCGTGACCAAGCGTGACACAGACTGTACTGACCGACGGAAACTCCTTCCATCCTTCATTGAGTGGTCCGCATACTGGGCACTCCTTACAATGTCAGCGGCCATAATCGGTGGATCCAGTTCTAACTTGCATTTTAGGTATCAAAGTCTTGTCCGATAGTTTCTACTCCGGCCACCGGATGGCAGCACCGTATGCTGATGTCGAACACTTTGTTTATCGTCTATTTGTTCCGTTGGCAACTTATCATGTCGTTTGTTTACGTGTGAGATTGGCTAGAGGAGAACTGCATGGGTTTGTAATGCATAATATTTGTAGTACATGTAACATATATAAACTAGAAGCGTGAAAGTACTGACATGTTAGAAGTACGTACTGTGTAACCTTGTGTACTGTTAACATAACCTCATTAGTTGTGTCAGCACATGTAATAGGTTATAAACGTTCTTGTCCGTCTTGCATGAAATGGACGCTGGCCCTTTGTGTGTCCATCCTCTTGACTAGACACGAGAACCGCCAGAAATATTTGGATGATAGTTGGTGTGGGCATGTCATTCGGGATTGCCCAAAAACCGTACTTTTCAATTTATTACGATATACCACCATGTTGGACGTTCATTGTTTTGAGGTGGGATTTGTAAAGTTGGAAACTAAAGTTTCTTAAATAAGTTGTGTGACAAAACCTTGTATTTTTCGGAATTTAATTCTATAATTATGTATATTCTGGAGATGTTTCATAATCTTCATCACAAGGGTCCATCTTCAGATTGTACCCTGAGTGATTTTTAAATTTATTTCATTCCCTTATGCCCTACTTGAGTAAGTTCCAGTTATTAATTTTATTTCCAGTTAATCAAATTAGTAAAATGGCAGAAAAGGAGGCAGAAACAGAGAAAGCAAAATCAGAGGCACCTGCTCAGCCCGTTATATCAGATCAGGAAAAGGACTGGGCACAGGCAGCTCTGACAGAATTCAACAGGAATAATTACAGTTCGTGTTTGCAACACCTGGTAAAGTTAGAGGCAGCGCGACCGCAGGATACCAAGGTCGCGCACAACAAGGCGATAGTCGAGTACTACAAGAGTGATCTCAAGAAGACGGACCAGTTCCGGAAGAACATGAATTTTGTGTGCGGTCAGGTTGGTCATATATCACGTTAACTCCTTTAAAATCCCACTGACGACGATATATACCACCTGCTTTAACTGCATTTTTCTCTCAGAGAGTGTTTGTGAGTTGTATATGATTCTCAGAGTAAGCGGTGGTCGTTTCCTTAAACAGCACTAACCGAATGCCCGTGATCACCGATACGTGAAGGTTTTTGTGGCAGGGACTGAATGTTTAAATATTATTTATATGAGCTTTGGCTTCAAAGGTTTTTATTGGAAATGTATGTCGCTGTCTACAGCAACTTCTAACTTGTGGTACATCTAATTATCAATGCGAGTCGTGGTATAACCATTATAAAGCCTTCAAAAAAGGAAATTCCAGTGTCTGCTTCTAAAAACTGAGGACAGGCGACAACATTCCGTATTTTTGTCACCATAGAAATCTCAGATCTCTTACTTTGAGGTGTTTGTTGTTATTTTTTATTTATTTTTAGTGTTCTGTCTGACGACAGGTCCATATGAACAGGATCCTTCCATCCTTTTCTCGGACTGGGACCTGTTCATATACGTTCTTGGCAGATGATCCAGAAGTGGTTTGCCATTGCCTTCTTCTGTGTGTGAATGGAGTAATTGTTGGGATGCCACGGAGGAAACCTCCGTGTTGCCTAGACCACGGCCTTGCCCAACACAAGTTATAAATTCGGGCACCGCTGTTGTAGAAGCACTTAATTTGTGTCTCGGTAAAGTCGCGTTTGCAGGTTATTTACATCTTGATGCCAGCGTTATGCCTACAAATAGACAATATTTACCTTTTTACCCGATCCCTGTGCACACAGTGTTTGTGATCTTATTCCGATCTGATTTCGTTTTGCAGTTCAAATTCTATTGTTGAGTAACTTTGGAACTGTACACCGATGTTTCAGGCACATGTGAACATAGAGGACGTGGACTCATTGGAGGATGTGGAACATTGTGTCATCTATTATAACCAAGCTGTCCTCCTGTACCACCTCAAACAGTACAGCACTGCTCTAAAGATTATGCATAAGATATTCTCCTTTATAGAACCAATGGGTAAGAAATTTGGAACACTCTACTGGCCAGAGAGAGACATGGCATTGGCAAAATACGCGTACACTCAGCAGGAGGTCAGGGTTTAATTTTATCAGTATATTTCGAATATAATAAACGCAACTACGCTAATAACAATAATTTTCTAGTCTATTGTTAAATTGTGTTACCAAGCAGTGCATTTTTAAGATTTCTGTCTTCTGGATTGTTGCGCTGTGTAGTCTGGTCGATGTTTACCAACGTTTCGGAGGTCATACTGCCTCCATCATCAGGGCGATGAGTCGCCAGACTAAGTGGCGGCCTTCTTTGGACTCGCCGCTGTGAAATCGTCAAATCCTACTTTGTGCGTTCTTACTTTGTTTCAGAGGAGAGCCTGGCTCATTGCGTGTGTCTCCTGCTGCTGGAACTGCAGTTGTGCATGCATCAGCCCGACAAGACGTTGGCGCTCGTAACTTACGTAGAAAACCAGTTTGTCGTTTCTACGGACTCTGTCATCTCATCAGAAAAGGAGATCAAATCTCTTGAAAAGGAGCACAAAGAAATGAAGGTGCATTGGGTTTTCTTTCTTGATGTATGTAGAAAGATATTTCGTAGAAGGCACGCTGATCTTAGCATGTTGGTATTTGTCTTCTGGGTTGTAACACCGTGTGTGCATAATGCCCTCATCAGCAGCATTGAAGGTGCTGAAGACCAACATCAACATATCATTTTAATATTTTTGTGGCAGGAAAACAGGTTTATGTTCGCGTAGGTAGGCACTGGAGCACAAGAAACTGCCTTCTGGTTCATCTCCTGTATGTAGCCGTTTATTTTTGTACAGCCTGTAACTGGTGATGCGGCGACAGACACATTCCGATTGAAGCTGTTGCAGTACAGAGCTCGCTGCTATCTCATGATGCACGCTCTCAAGGCTTGCAAACGCGAGATAAAAAACCTCATCACTGCAGGTGGACCGGTCAGTATAAAGACAAATAATTTATCGAGAGCCCGTATACCACGCTTTTTAGCAGCAACTTTCAGGTGTAATTATCATTTATTCTCTGAAATAATAATTAATTACATTGAATACAGTGAAACCTTGAAAAAGAAATGAATGTTGACTCAGATATTTGAGCCATAAGAAAATTCTTGCATTTAAACTTCTAACACGTAATAGAGCACGTACCCCTGCGAATACGTTAAAATGTCAGTACGGACTATATGTTCATTTCTCATTTGCAAAATGTACCCAATTTCATTACTTTAAAAGTTGAATAGATGATACCTGGGGGCATTAGTGACAACGTAAATATTAGTAATGCTTTCTCTTACTCCATTGTCAATATTTTGCTTCAGACACTGACTTCGGTCTTGTTGAAAGGAAATCTGGAATACCAGCGTGGAAACTACAGGAAAGCTATGAAAGTGATCAACTCCATCCCACAGAGCAGCCTCTCGTTCAAGTACGTTTATTTTTCTTTTCGCAGTCTGAAATGCTGATGTTTTAAAAATATCTAAAATATAACGTCACTGTTTAATCAGTGGTACTCCTGCTTTGTGCCTGGGAGATTTTGATTACTTCAGTCTGACCAGGCACACGGGTTGTCATGATAGCACTTCTAAGATTATGAAATAGACTACAGCTGCCTGCTTTAATATCCTTACCAACTCATCATTCTTGGTCATATTTTCACTTCATTTTACACTATACAA